ACACCTCAGTGTCCCAGGTCAGTCGAGAATCAAAACGGCAGCTCCCCTCTCCAGTTGCTGTTGTTCACCACCAGACCATCTTCAGCTAAAGAACAATGGAGAGAGGAAGCTGATGCTGACCTTCATCACTACTCTTCATTGTCATGTGTAACTTCTGAGATTTATTGATGATGAATAAAACCATATACGATTCTCATCACACAGCGCGTTATCATGTGACTCCACTGACAGCTTTGAGATCAGTCATAGAGTCCAGGCGATCTGAGTTTACCTGATGATCAGGTGCGTTCACAGAGAGATGACAGGACAAAACCAGAGAAAAAAAAAAAAAAAAAAAACAGAAAATGGACTGTCTCATATTAATGACTCTTTATTATGTAAAACTGACAAATCCTATTTTAAATAGTCAAGAAAATAATATTAGCTTTAAACTCATGTAACTTAATTTTGTGAAAATATTATAAGAATTGTATATAAATTGATTTAAAAATAATGCATTCCAGTTTGTTGCAAATATTATTAAAACAATTCATCTTAATCAACATTTATTTACTATTAGTCATACTACAATGCCATCATATTGATACAAGAAATGCTTTCATGCTACTGAATCTGAACATTAACCTAGAGAGAGTAAAGCTGTGGCCTTCTTTTTAGCTGAGAGAAACACAGCATGACTCTGGGTGGAGGATCCCTTTAAATCAGACTCAAGAGAGGAAGGAAAAGCTGGTTAATATTAAACAATCATTAATTGACACTTTAACATTTTTCAGTGAAGAAACAAACTGCACTTAAAAGACTAAATGGAAAGTATTTTAAAAAAAAATTGTCCTTTTTAGAATATTAGACTCATGGAAAATACGTCACATCATAAGAAAATGTTATTTTGGACATTTTTACAAATAAACTTCCATCCTGTGATCTTCATTTTTAGTATTACAGACTGGACACAGTTTTGGTAAAAGGTCTCAGTGTGTTCAGTGTGGCCTGGTTTCACTGGTTGTACTGGTTTTATTTCTGGTTGAGCCAGCTGAAGGAGAAGACGTGTTTGGGTCCGTCTTTGTCCTCCGACTCATTCTGCTGGTCAGACAGACCCTGCAACAGGAGAAGATCAATAATCTCATCCTCTCTGAAGCTACAGCACAGGGCCTGCACAGAGATGTGACACCTGAAATGTAGTGCAAGGTCATACCTGAGGGATGGGGCTTGTAATGGGGAGGGGCATAGGGGGAGGGGCCTGTGTGGGTGATGTGGGTGCAAGACTTGTCGGTTGCGATGTTATGATGGGCTGAGCCTCTGATGGTCTCTGAGGGGGTGGGGCTGAGAGCAGAACACCTTGTGGCTGAACAGGTGACTGAGGAGGCTGCTGATTGGCTGACAGTACTGCAGCTGCTGCAGGTACAGTTTGCTGTGACTCAACTTGACTTCCTGCTGTCGTCCCTTTGACCTCCACTTCATCTTCATCTTCATCATCATCATCCTCATCAGCTGAGAAGAAACGCAGGATTAGTGAAAAGGCAGCGATATGCTAACAGTGTCAATGTGGGGGTAGATGCTACATGCTAACATATTAGCATGCAGTTTGCTTAAAGACAGTAACTCCATGTTAACTTGTCTCTGTTTGGACAGTAATCTGAAGGCTTCCTGTGCTGTTACGTTTGATGAAGTCGACTTTGTTCAGTGCCCCCCTCTGATGTTCAAAGTTAGCTGTGAAGTGATCCATGTTCTCGTAGCCATGTTGGAGTTTGTCCAGGTGCGACGTGTTGGTACCCTCTATGATCCTGATCAATAAACAGCAGACTTTATTAACACATCAGGTTAGATGTCAGAACTTTGTTCACACTGCTGACAGATTATTGTGTTGTTAAATACTCACTTCTGTAGTAGAGGTTTCGCTGTCTGTGAGAGACAAATCAAAGTTATTGATCACATAGTATACATTATTTTCCTATTTATTCTGTTTTTACATGAGAACATGAACATTAATGCTAGTGCATTAGCAAAGAAACATGCTGGGGTTCAGTTCAGACTGTAGAAAACACTAGATGTTAGTGCTGTGCTGAAATGTTTCAATGAAAGAAACCAAGCAACAAACAACATTTCACATATGAAAAGTTATTTTACTGCTCAAATAAATAATAATGCTTTCTTTTAAAAAACATACAGTGCTGTTTGCTAAATAATATGTGATTTCAAATGTAAAGATGAAAAAACCTTCAGCACAAATGTGATTAAAAGCAGAAATGCAGACATTCATTTGAAATAGCTCACAATGAACAAGAATGATTGTAGTGAATGACAGTGGTGTTATGCTAATGCATCATTGTCCACTATTAGTGGCTCCACGGTCACGTGCTAACATTTTAGCATACACTGCATTCAGTCAAAGTAGCTCAAGGATAACTGTATAGCTGCAGCACAAATAATCTCTGAAACCATGGTGACATATGAGCCAATGACATCAACAGCTGTCAGCCAATCAGAGGATAGTTCTATTTATGTGGCCTTTATTAAAAATGAAAATTTGATTAAAAACTAAAATTTGGCAGTTTGGCTTAGTCAGCCCTTGGTGTGTTCAGGTTCACCTGCAGGAACACTGCCATCTCAGGCTCGTCCATGGTCTGGATGGCAGTCTCCAGGACCTTGGCAGTGTTGTCCAAGTGTTCACTGTACTTCCTCCTCAAACTTCTGATGTAGTCCAGTTTCTCCTCCTGCTCAGAGTTAACCCTCAGAGTCATCTCACCTTTCTTCTCCTCCAGTAGGGCAAACAGGTGATCAAAGGTCTCGCACACCTTTGACTTCTGTCTGCGACCGTTCGCCTGAAAAAAGTCATAAAACCTCAGGTAAACCGGGTGTGCAGCAGGTGTTATGTTACAGGATAGGTTTGGAATTTGTCAGTTTGGTCTTAAAACAATGTTGACATGCCCATATGTCTGCAAGAAGGAGTCTCAGTTGCTGTAACTTCTCCACACAGACCCTGAAGCTTACAATCACCGTGCTGTAAGAAATGAGGGACAACAGCCCTCGTTCTGTGTAAAAATGCACTCCAACATTTGCCTGAGGCTCAAATGAAGATTCAGCTGTCCTGCTAAGCTAATTCAAGTCGGTGTCTTTCAAAGTTGACAAATCTATTTTTTTTGTTCCCTGGAAAATAGTTCTTTGCTGAGCAGGTGCCAAAGGACACATTGTGGACACCTTGAGAATCAGCGGAAGAGTAAGAGAAGTTACAACGACCAAGACATATACTCATCTACACAGGGGCACATCAGTATTGTATTAATGTAAGACCAGCTTGAAAAATCCTGAGCCTCTCCTTCAAACCTAAGGTAAAGCAGGAGTGCAGCAGCTGGATGAACTCACATCGACAGCTCTGCAGGTTTCCTCCAGCTGAATGATAATGGCCTGAATCCTCTCATTGTTCCCAACCAGCATCGAGATGCAGTCAGTCAACTCGGCCTAAACACACACACACACTTTGAATGCTATTTCTGAATTTACCAGTTACAATAAACAACAGAGGACTTGTGTTGTTGTTGTTGTTCATGTGTCATGTTTGTGTCAAATCTGCCGACCTTCTGCTGGTGGAAGACGTTATTGAGCGGAGCGACCTCGCAATCCTTGTGCTTTCCAAACACCTTACACAGAGAACAGGTGGGAACGCTGCAGGTGCTGCAGTAGATGTTGATCTTCTCATCCTCATGCTCCTCACACATTGGCTGCTCCAGCTTCAGCTCTGGGGACGGTTTGCTGCTGCCAGACAGACAGGTGGAGGGAGAGACAAGTGGACAGACAGGACAGATGGACAGACAGACCAACATGTACAAAGTTAAATACATAAAACATTATAAAATGAATAACCCCGTGAAAAGTACAATAAAATGTGAAATGAAAGTGATTTAAACTCTACTGAGTTTTCTTGGAATTTACTTCTTTACACCTTTTATGTTTCAAATGATTCTTTGCTGTTGGTTTGTCATCTCAGCATTTTGAAAGAGCAGAAACAGTGATTCCTATCCTGGGCATGTTTTTCTCAGCTCGTCCTGCCACTGAGAACTAAAATAACTCTGCTGAAGTCGCTCTGACCTCTGGTTAAAAATAGTCTGAGCGTCACAACCCGCAGCTGTAAGCAGAGCAGGAAGAGTAAAAACACCGGTCACCTGGATCCTGTACCATGAAGCCAGATCTGTGGCTTATCCAGCTAACTTCGGGCTCAGCTCAGGTTTTCCTGTACCATGAGGCTGGATCACAGTTGATCAGACTAGATCACCATGGCAACTGATGCTGCACGACTAAGCAGATTAACTTCAGGGGATCGGATCAAATTATCATTTGATTATTTGATTCTAGACCAAATTCCTGACTGTGTCGATGTTTTTACAGGCTTCCATCGCTGCAGCTCAGAATAAGTTGAGGACACTCTGGTCTTGTATCAAAAAAATTATCCACTCACTGTTAAATATTCCCCATGGTTATAAACGAACATACTAGTAAGAGCTCAGAGACCTTTTAAAAGATTTTTATTCTGACGTTTGTGAGTAAAAGTGAAGTTTTACTTTAATCTTTCACTTGAGTCTACAATGTGACTTTTGGTAAATGTGGGCCGGCTCTCAGAAACCAAACTGCTGCTACACCAGTAACAGCACAGGGCTGGTTGTGCAGCCAGCCACAGCTGGAAGGAGGACCCACAGTAAGAGTGAAGCAGTTTGTCACTGGTGGAGCTGAGTCTCAGTTTAATGGTTGGATTAAATAACCTTCTTAACTAGCTTAACTAGCATTTTGTTAAACTTTCAACCACATCTCATGGTCTTCTAAGATGACATGATCCATCCATCTATTACCTATACTGCTTATCCTTAATAAGGTCGTGGGGAGCTGGAGCCAATCCCAGCTGACACTGGGTGAGAGGTGGGGTCACACCCTCACTAGTCTGCCACAGGGCTGACAGGTAGACAACAACCATACTCACTCCTATGGGTGATTTAGAGTCACCTAAGTGTAACTGGGGTATAATAATTACACAAAATGTAACCGGGCATGTCTTTGGACTGTGGGAGGAAGCCGGAGCACCCACACAGAGAGAACATGCAGACTCCACAAAGAAAGGCCCTGAGTTGGTCGGGACTCGAACCCGGAACCTTCTTGCTATGAGTGCTAACCACTGCACCGCTATGCCATCCGAGATGACACAGTGAAATATTTTAGTAAAAGTACTTCTCCCAAGTCATGAAGAAGTTCCTTGTCAAGATGGTTCTTTTGTCCAGAGCAGAAAAGAAAACAGCCAACTGTCCAGTTACAGCAGGAGGATGGGACTTAATGATTATGACACACAATGATGTCATCTGTGATAAAACATCATCATATTGTAACATTATTGGTTTGCCAAACGTTTCTCACTGACTCACAACACAACACATTAAATACAAACAGTAAACAGGAAATATGTGTAACATTGTTGTATTTACTTGTTTACTCTTCGAGCAGGGATAATAAATCATCCATATACAACTTTACAGCTTTTGTTATTGGCAGTAAGTTAGTATTGTGCAAGTGGAACAAACCTGAAGAAGTCTTCTTTATTCATGTGTTTATATTTTACTTTGATGTTTGTTTGTTGGTTTGGTCTGTGTGTACATAGTGTGTTTCTTGTGCACAGTTTGTGGATGTAGTAAAAGTGTGACATGTTGTTGTTGTTGTTGGTGTGAACATGAGATACATCACAGCTGGACGCCAGTTCTGGGTCTTGTGAAATCCAGACTGTGAGTCAGAGGAAACCATTTCATCACTGACCTGAGTCTAAACACATGCAAAACTGGATGGAACTTCATTTAAAGTTCAGAGAAAATGTCACATGATCACCCGTCCCACAAAGGTGTAAGGATATTTCTATGCTGCAGCACTTTTAAGACTATTTCAATACTGCTTGAAGGACGTGATTTTAAAATTTTAGGTCCCAACAGTTATAGAAGCATAACTGTGTGTGTCTACAGGTGTGTACTGGTATGTGTGTTACCTGGTGTTCCCCTGTTTGTACATGTCAATGATGTTCTCCACCAGCAAGTTCCTCTGCAGCCCGTAAACTCCATGCCGGTCCAGGACCACTTCATGTCGACAGGACGGGCAGCGGAAACGACCACCGGATGTCACCGTGGAGCCACTCCTCGTTGACAGGTAGGGATTGGATGCCTGCAGGGGGCAGGGCATCACACAGACAGACAGGTTTACAACAACGCACACTGAAAATGGCTGATGAAGCAAACAATGGTGATCTTTTTTTAAAAAAAAGAAAGAAAGAAAAAAAATGCTTTTATTTGACCAAATTCACAAAATGGAACAACTCAGATTTCTCTGGAGTTCATTCTTCTATCTTTTAATGACATTTTCTTTATTATTGTTGTTATCTTGTTTTTGATGTTATTCATCATTTCTTCATTTATCTTGTAATTGTGGCCTCATGAATCAGAGTCACAAGCAGTAAGAGTCCGAGTCCAAGTCTGAGTCGGAATCAGAATCAGAATTTTTTATTGTCATTGCACCAAGAAAAAGTACAAGATTTGCTGTGCAAACCTAAAACACACACATGCACACTTTTATCCACATTACAATAAATAATATCCTATATACAAGCTTGTTGTAAACTAAACTCATTTTAAATTAACTTAAACACAGTGACCAATATTAAATAATGTTAATTTGTTGTTACTGTAAGAGGTTATGTCAGTTTAAAATGTGTCAGAATATAAATGGTGGAAATCATAAGGTACTCTCTAAGGTGAAATGCAAAAATGATATAAATTTTGTTCATTTTTACATTGAGCCTGGCAAATTTTACTATTTTAGTGTATTGTTTGGTTTTTACTGTCTTGTATTATTTATCCACATGAACTCATTGGCTGAATGTCACATACTCAGTGGGATCTAAATAATTATGTAACGGTTATATTACTCTTATTAGTTATATATGCTCATAGGTCCCTGGGTGTTCACCTCAGCAATAAACTGGACCGGTCAAACAAGACTGAGGCACTTTACAAGACAGGCCAGAGCAGGTTCTACCTGCTGAAGAGGCTCAACCTGCTGAGGAGACTCTATCTGAAGATGAGACTCTACCTGCTGAGGAGGCTCAGGTCCTTCGGAGTGGGGGACACTCCCGGGGACCTTCTCTGACACAGTGGTGGCAGCAGCCATCTTCTATGGAGTGGTCTGCTGCTGCTGCCACCTTTCTACATTCTCCGCTGTGTGCCTGGTTTCTATCCCTTTGCCAGGGTAACATGGCTGCTGTCTTGTGAACAAAAACATTTAATTGTAGACTTTAAAGGAAACTGTTACTTTGTGTTTCACTGAACAGAGCAAACAGGGAAAAGAAAACTCTCTGAAGGTGTCACTCAAATCACCTGCTGATCAACACTCATCATGCTGTCATGGTGAGGTGGTACAAACTGAGACTGTCCTTGTTGGCAATGGTAGAAAACACTGTTCTTTTGTGCAGTTGTGGAGTACGTGTACTTTAGAGTACTTTCCTAAAGTTCCTGAGATCCTTCAGGGGCTGTAGATTCAATGAGTTACCTGCAGGCCACAACTGTATCTTCATGTTTTGAGCCAGCTGCTGTGTGCAGTGCCCCCATGGATGTACAGACAACTGTCCCTGGATAACTGTGGCACTGAAAGAAACCTAGAAAGGGGAGTTTTCTCAGGCAGGTTCTGCAGCCTCTGCTTCTCTGGTCTCTAAGTGGGTTTATGGAGCTTTGCTCTGGAGGGACTTTGGAGATGATGAGCTACTCAGGAGGAGTGTGTGCGTGCGTGTATGTGTGGTTGTTCGTCTATGTGTTAGCCCTGCGATGGATTGGCGACCTGTCCAGGGTGTACCCCGCCTTCGCCCGATTGCCGGCCGGGATTGGCTTCGGCCCCACCCGTGACCCCGTTCAGGGTCTAAGCGGTAGAGCTACTCAGGAAGCAGACGACACACTGAGTATAAAAAAAATGTGCGTCTTCTATCCTCTCTGTGAAGAATTCAAATGACATGTGGCTCTTCTAAAGGCCGGTGGAGTTCAGGACCATTGGAGGAAACACAAATCAATACAAAGCAGAAAACTTCAAAATCCTCTTTATATACTAGAAACCAGTTTTAGTTAACAGTATATTCGGTAATCAGCCTGTCTGGTCCTGTTTACTCTGAGGCCTTTTTTTCCTGTCTGTAGCTTTATGATACAGGTAACGGACACGACACATACCCATGGTGCTACAGTACAAGTACCTTGGTTCCTATAACTTGTACAATTAATGACCATAATGATCTGTACAGAGGTTTCTGTGTAGTGCCTGGCCTTTTCTTCATGTTACCACCTTTGTAAACAAAGAAAGAAACAGCTCTTTGCTCAGATGTCAGAGTGTCCTTGAACACACCAACAAGGAGAAACTGTAAAACTGATCCCGCTTGTGTTTTAACAGCTTCAGCTCATGATAAAATCATCACTCTGACCAGAACATCTATGTGACTGCACCTTCTTTAACGGAACCAAATAAACCTCAACCATCTGCTTAAAATCCCGGAAATGTTTCCTTCAGAACAATTAGAAATGGCAAAAGTCTCAGCTCAGATCCAAAGTAAAATGTTGCTTCACTGTGTCTCTTTAAGACCTGAACGTGTCCCTCACCTGAAAGATGTCGCTGGCACACTTGCGGCACAGGTTGTGCTGGCAGGGCAGGATGACCACCGGTTTGGTGAACATCTCCAGACAGATTGGACAGATGAGCTGCTTCTCCAGACTCTCCATGATGCAAAGTGAGGCCGAGGAGCTGGGGGAGACACCCGTCACCTGGACAGGGGGTGGGGGATGTCCCGGAGATGAAATAAAAGAGAGTGAAGCAGAAGCAGCAGCAGGAGGAATGTGGTGTGTCGTGGTGGTGGAGGTCTGTGGGCTGCAGTGTGAGCAGCTCTGAGTCTGTTTTTAGACGGACAGACGTCAGCTGTTGTTGTGTCGACATGTCCTTATATGTCAAAGGTCAGGGGGAGGCATGACAGAGCAGGATGGGTGGGGGGTAAGCAGGACAGTTTATTAAAGGGACAGTCCACTGCTTCAGAGGAGCTTGAGGAGGCTGTAGCGCCTCCTGCTGGCCAGTCAAACACCATGGAAATGATGCTTCTAACAGAGTCCCAGGCTGACGCTGATCTCTGAGGCAACGAAGATGAAGGTACCTGTTCACTCAGGTAAACAGGTGCACTGAATTGAAGTTATAACATGAAACACCTGGCACCGTGTTTGTTACAGCACAAGCTGCAGGGCAAACATGGCTGAGAACCTGGAGAAGGATTTGAAAGCACAGGACACACACGGGAATGTGACGCCAGCCAGGTGTGGGCAAGTCAGACAAGCGTCTCACTGTGATGATGTCATAAGTTACAGGGCATTATGACAACAACCTCTGTGCTGCCAGCTTTGTCTTTGTACCTCTTGAACCGATCTGGGAGACCTCTGGGAGATCTGACCACTGGTCTGGTGGAAAACAGCTGCCAGCTGCAGCACATCTGGAACAAAACCCAGTTAGGAACTGATGCTAACATTTCTAACTGCAACCCTGATGGATTATTGTCAGAATGATTCATTAACATTAATCAATTGGTGTAACCACACTTTCTTAATGGACGTGTAATGGAAGTGATGGAGGACAAAGTCAACATCCCGAGCATGTCCAGTCAATGAAGAGAACACCAGCGCCCTCAGCAGGATGTTACAACCATGTCATCCTCCAGGTGACCTCGTCACATGATTACAGGTGTAATCACAGTCTCACAAACAGTTTTTTTTTCTTCACTTCACTCTCTGCACTCAACTTTATTCACAGAAGAACAAAAACAAACAAGCTCCAACACATATGACAACAGACAGAACATTAGTGTTGCTCTATTTAAGGACAATAATCTACATATATACTGAATTATAACCTTTATTTATAGACATTAGTGGGTGAACAATCTGAAGGTTGAATTGAACTCTGCCCCCCGTTCGCCTCTCAACAACCAGTGTTACTTTAATAAAATCATTTAAAACCTCAGGTCATCACTGCACTGCAGTTTTGCATTAAGCATCAGCCTGATGTAGTGGAAAATCTTCTTCACACAAGATATTCTCATGACACAGATCCAATGTGAGTAAGATTTTAAAGACTAGGAGACTAGAATTTTATAAGTGCACAATATTAGACCAGCTATGGATCAAGCTCAGACATTATATTAAACAAAGTACAGGTTTTGTTCAGAAGAAACAAAGATATATTTGTTTTTTGTGGAAGATATTTAAAAAGATATGGATTTTATTAATATCCAGATATTAAACATATACAGTGGTGTGAAAAAGTGTTTGCCCCCTTACTGATTTCTTATCTTTTTGCATGTTTGTCACACTGTAATGTTTCAGATCGTCAAACAAATTTATATATTAGTCAAAGATAACACAAGTAAACACATCATGCAGTTTTTAAATGAAGGTTTTTATTATTAAGGGAAAACAAAATCCAAAACTATATAGCCCTGGGTGAACAAGTGTTTGCCCCCCTGTCAAAACACTGGTTTATCGCACCTGAGTTCAATTTCTATAGCCACACCCAGGCCTGATTACTGCCACACCTGTTCGCAATCAAGAAATCACTTAAATAGGACCTGCCTGACAAAGTGAAGTAGACCAAAAGATCCTCAAAAGCTAGACAGCATGCCGAGATCCAAAGAAATTCAAAAACAAATGAGAAAGAGAATAATGAAGCTCTATCAGTCCGGAAAAGGTTATAAAGCCATTTCTAAAGCTTTGGGACTGCAGCAAACCACAGTGAGAGCCATTATCCACAAATGGCGAAAACATGGAACAGTGGAGAACCTTCCCAGGAGTGGCCGGCCAACCAAAATTACCCCAAGAGCGCAGCGACAACTCATCCAAGAGGTCACAAAAGACCCCACAACAACATCCAAAGAACTGCAGGCCTCACTTGCCTCAGTTAAGGTGAGTGTTCATGACTCCACCATAAGAAAGAGACTGGGCAAAAATGGTTTGCATGGCAGAGTTCCAAGACGAAAACCACTGCTGAGCAAAAAGAACATAAAGGCTCGTCTCAGTTTTGCCAGAAAACATCTTGATGATCCCCAAGACTTTTGGGATAATACTCTGTGGACAGACGAGACAAAAGTTGAACTTTTTGGAAGGTGTGTGTCCCATTATGTGTGGCGTAAAAGTAACACCGCATTTCAGAAAAAGAACATCATACCAACAGTAAAATATGGTGGTGGTAGTGTGATGGTCTGGGGCTGTTTTGCTGCTTCAGGCCCTGGAAGACTTGCTGTGATAAATGGAACCATGAATTCTGCTGTGTACCAAAATATCCTGAAGGAGAATGTCCGGCCATCCGTTTGTGACCTCAAGCTGAAGCGAACTTGGGTTCTGCAGCAGGACAATGATCCAAAGCACACCAGCAAGTCCACTTCTGAATGGCTGAAGAAAAACAAAATGAAGACTTTGGAGTGGCCTAGTCAAAGTCCTGACCTGAATCCAATTGAGATGCTGTGGCATGACCTTAAAAAGGCAGTTCATGCCCGAAAACCCTCCAATGTGGCTGACTTACAACAATTCTGCAAAGATGAGTGGGCCAAAATTCCTCCACAGCGCTGTAAAAGACTCATGGCAAGTTATCGAAAACGCTTGATTGCAGTTGTTGCTGCTAAGGGTGGCCCAACCAGTTATTAGGTTTAGGGGGCAAACACTTATTCACACAGGGCTTTGTAGGATAGGTCTTTTCTTCGTAAATGTGTCCTTCTTCTCCTCAAACTCCAGAGAAGACAGATTCCACTAAATGTCAGATTATTGTATCAAATTCAGCTTTGACATTGAATGTTTCTTACACGTGTTGAAAATATGGTGGAAGTCATTTTGTGTGTTTTCAGTTCAGAGCTGGACTTCCTGTTCCATCAGGTTCAGGTCTCAGTGATCCGGCCTCCAGCTTTGGTAACAGCTTCATGTGTAGGTGTCTCCGTACCTGCGGTGTCCGTCGGTGATCAGCTGAGTTTTCTCGCTGGCGTTCGTCGGCTGCTGGACAATCGGAGTCTCAGTGTCTGCACATAAACAACCAGAATCTCTGTTAAGAAAAACAAACTTGGACCCTGTAGAATTTTAAAATCTGGTTTACTTTAGGCTCTGAAACATTTTCAGTTGCTAATTAATGAGATTTTAATTTCATTCTTATTCATTGTTCAGATATTAAACAATTTTTTTGCACAAATGAATGCAACTGTTCATGGACTGGAATGTGTTAAATTTTAATTCGCTTTCTACACAGTTCAGTGGAATTTAAAGGGTAACAAAATCCTTAAATCTTACTAAATAATATTTATTATTTATTTAATATTTTAGTTTGGGTCAAGTATACAGTGCCACAATCCACAGCATATATTCTTTAGGGTACCTTATAGGTGACCCTTGATGTGTATCTCACTCTCCAGACTAGTGGCTAATTAATGGATTAATATAGGGTGGGCCTATATTATGGGTTGTCAGTTAATTAGCTGCTCTGTTTAAGGTTTGTATTTGAAAAAACCTTGATTTATTTATTTTAAACAGAAGGATGACCTGAATTCCTAGTTTATTATGACAATTAAAAATGTAAGGTTCTTTAAAAGTATAAATTAAGGGAAGGCTTTCATGACATTTGATCAGTTTTAAAAGCTTTCAACCCAGTGAAAGACATTAAATTCAGATAATCAGATAATCCATTAAAAAATCTTATCGTTAAATGTTTAAAATAGATTATCCCTTTAAAATTGAGTCATTGTTCCTCTGATCTGTAGGAAAATATTCACAGTAATTGATTAATCAATAATAATAATTGATTATTTTATTTGATAAATAATCCAAAAACAAATCAAAAATATAATCTGCCATTTGCTCCGAGACTGAATCTCAGCTGGAAGAGACGATGGACAAAGAGTCACGTGTTCAGCTGTGTGAACTTCAAAATAAAAGATCACTACTTCCTGTTGTCTCACCATTGTCGGGGTCATTGCGTATCTCCTCCTCCAGGTCATCAGGGGAAATGTAGTCTGGCTCCGCCCCCTCACCTGTGGACGTGGGCTTGAGTTTCCCAAAGCAGCAGTTACAGCAGCAACAGAGACAGCAGCAGCAGTAGCAGCCAGTCAGGATCCCACAGACCAGGAACAGACCCTGAGACCAGAAGACAAGAGACCCTGATACCATAGGACAAGAGACCCCAAGACTAGAGGGCAAGAGACCCTGAGACCAGAGGACAAGAGACCCCGAGACCAGAGGACAGGACACCAGAGGACAAGGGACCCTGATACCAGAGGACAGGAGACCCCGAGACCAGGAGACAAGGGACCCCGAGACCAGAGGACAGAATGGTAAATGGTAAATGGACTGTATTTATATAGCGCATTTTTCCACAGTGTGTTGCACTGGCCAAAACGCTTTACAGGAGATGATACACCATTCACCCATTCACACACCAATGACGACAGGCTGCCACACAACGGCACTAGTCAAGCCACCAGGAGCAATGTGGGGTTCAGTGTCTTGCTCAGGGACACTTAGGCATGCGGAGAGGACGGGAGTCAAACCACCAACTGCTGGTCAAGAGACGACTGCCCTACCTCGTGAGCCACAGCCACCCCCAGGAGACCCAGAGAAGAGACAGGAGACCCTGAGACCAGAGGACAAGAGACTCTGATACCAGAGGACAGGAGACCCTGACACCAGAGGACAGGAGACCAGAGGACAAGAGACCCAGAGACCAGAGAGGAAAACAGACAGAATCACTTTTTATCAGTTTCAGACAGTGTAAGCCCCGCCCTCACACCTTGGCCCACCAGGTGGACAGCATGAAGTAGGTGTTGACATTGTCCTCTCCGAACTGCTGGGCCACGTAGAGTCCCAGAGATCCATATGAGTCATAGATGTTCCTCTTGCTGAGGTCAGACAGAATGGCGTGAGCGTTGTTCAGCTCCTTAAACTTCTCTGCCGCCTCAGGGTTGTCCGGGTTTTTATCAGGGTGGTACCGCAACGCCAGCTTCCTGACATCACACACACATAATGTTACTTACTACAGCTCTGGAGGAACAGGCCAGTGAGTGGACGCTGAGTCAGTCTCAGCTCAGGTTCAAACTGTGTATGTATTCAATGGATCAGCTCAGACTGGACGAGTATGTGTCAGCTGACTGATCACCTGCTGCAGGTGAGGGGGCATGGTCATACTTGTCTCACCTGTAGGACTTCTTGATGTCGTCATGGCTACAGCCTTTTTCCAAACCCAGTATCTGATACAGAGACTCTCCAGATGTAGACAAAGTGCGCTGCCTCCCCTCAGACATCCTGACACCATCACCTGTCACAGATGGACAAACATCAAACAGAAAGTCTCACCTGGATCACTGCCTCACCTTTAATTTTGGACTCAGCATACAGTACACTCTTGTACGCTCTTTAGATATAAGTCATGAAGAAGGTGATAAAGCTACAGACTGGTCAAAGTGGACAGATCCAGTAAAGCCGGGCAGACACTGGAACTTTACTGGAACTGTTCATGTAGGAGTTCTGTTTAAATGTTCAATGTGAGCAGAGAAGTCCCAGGTTCAGGTCGATTAAAATGTGCAGTGTGAGTTAAGGCATGTACATTATCAGTCAAGATTGCACGGTGTCTGCCCGACTTTAGAGACGAGCTGGGCTAGCATGAGAACCGTATGGAGCGAATAATGAACAAAAATCAGCCCTCTCTCTGTTGTTGCTGATAAAAACTAATAAAATATTTATTTTTTGTTTTATAACATGAATATTTCAAAAGTTTGTAGTTTTTGGTTCAATTTCTGTGGAGGTATCACTAAAAGGACCGGGTCGAGCTTCTTACTGGAACCAGAACTTGGTTTATTAGGGAATTTACACATTACTACGGAAATACATTGCTTTCAATAAAAAAACAACTGGAAGATAATAAGAATATTTCCATCTGATTCAGTGATGCAGACATAAAAATGGAATCTAACTAAATATTTCAGGTGTTCAGTGAAAACCAAGTATTTCATTTGTATTTATTTAAGGTTTTATATGTGTTGGAATATAAATCTACTGAAGGATTAAAAGCGTCACAGAGGGTCCTCACTTTTCAGAGATACATTGTTTTCACTGGACAAAGGTGGGACACATGATGTCACGCAGGTTGAAAGGATGTGTCTACCTGTGAAGAAAGAGTCATTTAAAGTTGAAGAGGGAGCAGTTACCTGCCTGCTGCAGCCTGTTGAAGCCTCGGAGTGTGCCGTCTACCTGTTCAGGTGGTTGAGGTGCCGGTCCTGATGAAGCCTCTACCTGTTCAGGTGGTTGTGGTCGACCTGTGGCAGGGAGGATTTCTGACAGCCTCCATCAAACATTCAGCAGCAGTTCAGCTCAGGTGACCACGAACGGCTACAGCTGCTCAGGTTTCACTGACACGCTCTGATGGATGCTTTGTGCTGGGGAGGGAAGGTTGCCATGACAACCAGGTGATTCAGGCGGCTGGGGGTGGGGGTGGGGTCAGACAGAATTTGACAGAGCACAAGATAAAATGTGTCAGAAAACTTGACAAGAGACACAACCACACTATTTTTTTGTAAACCACCACCAGATAAAAGTGCAGGTTTCATCTTGAACAATGTCAGCAGCATAACCTCTAACAGTTAGAGTCTAACTGCAGCTAAGAGCTAACTGTGGCTATCAGCACACTGCGGCTGTCAGCTGTCTGCAGCGCAGTAGAAAGTGCAGTACTTCCCTCTGAAATGTGATGGATTCAAAGCAGAAAGTTACAGAAAATCAAAATGCTCATGTAAAGTGAAAGTACCTCAGATAACACTATACTTTAATATTGTTTTTAAGTATACTTTAGTGACTTTCCACTGCTGGAGGAGGTGTTGCTAAAACACATGCTAACAGTTAACACTTTAGGTTACAGATCACAAGGTGCAGTGCAGTTCCCAGTCTCAGTGTGATGGTGTGTAGTACTAGACCAGTTTGTGTTACATATTCAGGATGTGTTGATCCCCTGTTATTATGTTATGTATTAGGTTATTATGTGTTCAAAGTTGCCTTTTGCACCATGCTGTAACTAGTGCAGCGGTAATTCTTCCATATTGATCCTGCTGCAGTCCTCAGCCAACAGAAGGCTGCTAATGCTGCATTTATTCACCATTCTGTAAAATGTTAATGTGCATACTGTTTTAATATTCCTTCTTCACACATTATTCATGTATTACTTGTGTTGAGCATTTCCAGATACTGTTGCACATGTGCACTTCACATGTTCTGCTAAAAGTAGAAAAAGTCCTGGACAGAGTTTTTTGGAAACACTGTGAACAGTCACTGGTAGGTCAGCTGCACCTTCTGACACAGGACAGGAACATCACACTGCAGTACACTGCACAGCGTGCTATACATTGACTCTTTATTGATTAGAAATTGATCCATTTGTCTTGTTGCTGTGCTACATGTTTGCTAGCATGAGACCAAACATGACATTTCTACACCAGCGAGCAGAGGTGGCAGACTGGTGACAGTTTTCTCCTACATTATTACCATGTGTGAGAGCCGGCGAAAGCTTGGTGCTGTTGGCCATGTCTTTGTTTCATCATCACCACAATTCTGCTTAATCTGCTTGTTTATGTTTGTTTTTCTATGTCACAATGAGAAGATGATTCAGGCTGTGGCTGTGTGACCTTCAGGAATGTGGACTGTGCCGAAAGTGAAGTAATGAAGCCTTGAATGTTCACAAATCAAGCCAGCAAGAAGGAAATCGGGAAAATTAATTCTGATTGCCAGCAGGACGTCTTCTGAACTCGCTCTGCTCCTCAGAACCCAGAAAACAAAACCTCAGATGTCTGTGAATTAGTAGGAGGACTGCAGCAGTTTCCTTCTATTCAGGAACTATAAATTCAAATAAAAAGCTCACATACCTGTAGCATGGTGCATAAGATTATCACATGCAGTAGCATACAGACACCCATGCATCAGAGGTGAGGTGAACATGTTTTCCATGTGCTGTAAAACACAAAGGAACAAATGGCATTAAACAATGCAGCCTTTGATTCTGTCTGTTACTCCTCACCAACCCCGTCCACAGACCAGCAGCAGCAGTGAACGTGGTGTCCTCACCGTAATGTCTGTAAGTCCATACCCTGGTCCAGCTCATTGCTCTGTGCCATAGACCTCCACTGTTGTCCACCAGCTATTAGACCCCTCCAGTGAGCCACACTGCTGCACTGGGGGGCAGGTTTCCTCCTCAGGAAACACGGTAGGCTGTTTGTTTCCAACAAGCAGCTCCACGGGCTGAGGACAATGTCACTGTGCACAGAGTCTCTGGTCTCTGCTCTGGTTACACTCCACTAACTTCTCATGCTGCACAGAACAATGTGTTGGCAATGATTTGCACAAAGTAACAAACAAATGATGTACAGAATTCTTTTATGTGTAGGACAAGTCAGTAAAAAACAAGAAAATATGCAAATCAAGTTTTAATGATAAAATTATTTGTATTTGTTGACAGAGAAAGATGCAGTTAAGAACAAAGAACCAACAGAGAACAGACATTTTTAGTTTAGTTGATCTGTAGAATATTATGTGGCACAGACAGACACCAACCAGAACTTATCACTTGTTATTTGACCACAGCTCAGGTGGTCTTGATTCTGTCTTCTAGTAGGGTCAGTAGGTCATTATCAGGCCACAAACCTTCACTGTCATAGTTACAATAATAAACACTAAGAGTCTTCTCTTAAAAACTACTTGGTTGGTTTAGGAAAAGGTGATGGTTTTGGTTAGAGACTAGTTCCTTGACGTTACAGGGCTTTCGTCATTAGCGTTACAATAATCAGCACATGGTTACAGTCTGCTCATGGCTATAAAAACACAGCATGTCATAGTGGAGGCCGGTCTCCTGTGGATAAAGTGTGTTCTGAGCCACTTGCCCCAGGATCCTTGTAACATGGACTCTGTCACTATGTATGCTACGTCATCTGCTTGTCCCATTATTACTAAAGCCACTAGTGTTCCCCTTATCACAACATGTATCTGTGATATCAAGCACCTTCTGGCCCCAGGTAGGTGCAGCTGGCTCCTACTGATCCATAACTATGGGTATGATAACTGATAACTGCCACTGCATGGCCTGACCAGTGGCACCTAAAGCTGTAAGCCTGTACACACCATGGGTACATTTTTAAAATAATTAAGTTTTACACCACTGCGTCTGGTGGCCTCTGTACAATAAAGGAATATAGTTTCACATTTATGGCCCGAAGAGCTATCTAATATGAAACCGTACACCCCTAGAGTAGATCACATCCTTTCTCCTCCCTAACGTGAGCGTGCAGCTTGGAGTGGGTGACAGCAGCTCCACTCTGACCGGCTGTCAGTAACGCCTTAACATCATCGGGACATGTACAAGGTATTTTTTATTTGTTGCTCATGAGCTGCAGTCGTGTGTTATGTTGTGGGCTAATTATTATGCATGGATTTAAGTGTTAGATCAGCGATTCTCAAGGACCATAGGAGCGCACCTCCTAGCAGCAACGCTGGTCACTGTGTGGAAAGTTGGCATGGGGGGTGTTGATGAGGGAGGCACCGCTGAGCTGAATGAGCTATGGTCAGTGTACATGTCCATGTAAATTCTCAGTCATCCAGGTCGTAACATGCTGAAAAAGCTTAGCAGAAGGCATCTGGACGTAGTTTTAGGTAGAAGACGTTTCACCTCTCATCCAAGAGGCTTCATCAGTTCTGTCTGACTAGTGGTGAGCAGGAGGTGTTTATCCCACTGGGTGGTGTTTCAGTCCTTCCACGGCCAACAATGTTCTCTAACGACTGAGTCGTTGGGGTCTAGTATCGGTGAGAGTCGTTACCTGTTTTTGAACCCTCACCTGTGGACCGACACCTATTGTCCTGGTGTGAATTAGGGTGGAAATGTTTGGGTAGAGATTTCAAAACAAAGTTGTAGATGGATGACAAGTTGTCTTAGTCCACCACCCCTATTTAGTGAGGGGTGTTCTATTTGGACAAAAATGGCTTTTTTGGCTCCTCTCTCAAACCAGCAGTGTTCTCTGGAGAGGATCTGGACTTCACTGTCCTCAAAAGAATGTCCTTTGTGCTTCAGGTGGAGGTGGACTGCTGACTCTGGTCCACTGGAGTTGGCCCTCCTGTGCACTTGTGCAGCGGCTGTTTTGTTTCCCCGCCCAACATTGGATGAGAGGTGAAATGTCTTCTACCTAAAACTACGTCCAGATGCCTTCTTTTCTTTCAGCGGTCAGTGTGCATGTTGCACTCACTCCAAGCTGAGCAGGGCTCACGTTATTACAAGAAAATACAGTATGTAGTTATAAGGAGGAAATAGCCTACAACATGTCGTAATAACATGAAACACGTTTTAATGTGAAAATATCTGGTGAAGATGAGCAAAGTATCTTGTTATAATGAGGAAAGTTTCTTGTCAAAACAAGATTTACGCTGCCGTGGGGAGCTCTGGTGTATACTATGGAATATAATCCCGCAGGTGCAGCTGGGTGTGGCGATGTCCAAACAGCTGGCTTCAGCAGAAATGATCTCAGAGTTCAGTTTTAGTTTCAGTGTGCTCAGCAGCGTCATCACAAAAAGCAAATAAACCAACTTCTTACAACAGAAAATATAAAATCAGGTTTATCAAGACATGATTCGGAGGCATGTACAGTCCAACCGGCCCGCTGAAGGAGGTGGACAGGTCCAGTCGGCTGTCCCCTCAGGCCAGGCTGACCAATCACGATGTTGCTGCAGGTCACACGGGCATCTGCAGCTGTGAGTACTCATCCTGTCCCTCCTCCTCCAGCTGAGGCTCTGCATCCTCAGCATCCAGCTGCAGGACCACAGGCCAGAGGTCAGGATAAAAATGCAGGACCAACAAACTAGACTTTTTGTTTGCTCTGTCATGTTCCTTACTGGCTGTTGAATAACAGGCTGAAGTTAAATCCTCTGAGAAACAAACTGCTAGCCAAATGACTGCACCAGCATGATAAAACCCAGTGTTAACACTAATTCTATCTATTCAGCTCATTTTAGGAGCTGTGCACAGTTTGTATCTGGTGTCAGCTGATAACAAGCTGCTACCAATGTGTAACACAACAAAAGAAGCTAATTTAGGCGATCTACCTGCTTCCAGCTGTTGACAGCTAGTGTGACAGTTGTTATGTCTGCTCTCTGTGCTTATATGTCATCAGGATGATCTCAGGTAAAGCAGGGTGTGACTCACGCTCTGCAGCTCTCTCCAGGTGAAGAGGCGGGGCAGCAGCATATGGTCAGCAGCAACATGAAGGGGAAGGCCAGCGCTGCTGCCGTTGCCATGATGACCCACAGGAGAGACAGACAGGCCAGCTGTACGAGAGTGAACAGGTGCATCCTCAACGTCCGCACCTGTAAAGCAGGTGAGATGGAAACAGGTAAGTGCATCTGTGCATCAACATAGAATCAGCATTTCTGAAAAGAACTGTCTGATTATTGTTTCAACAAGTCTTAAGTCAGCAAGTCCCAAGTCAAGACCAATGAGTCCAGGTCAAACTGTAAACAAGTCATTATTTGTCTGGCTGCGCTGCTGACTGACTGGCTGCTGTCAAATGTATTCAAAATAAAGAGTTCATCCTCTGGATAATAAGCACATGCTGAACACATTTCATTACATAATTCTTCATTTTTGCACTTGGAAGGACACCGAGTCTTTCCAAGTCAAAAAGTCCAAGTGAAGCCATAAGTTGGTGCTGGAGTCAAAGTCAAGTTGCAAGTCTGTTTTGATTTCCATAAGTCACAAACAAAGTCAACAGATCTGTGACTCAAGTCTGATTCTAGTCACGTCCTGCAGCACCTCAGCTGGTGACTCCTTTCTGTACCAGGTCAGGAGGCGGGGCTAACCTTGCGGACATAGTTTTGGTCGGGGTGGTACTTTGGTGGCATCAGCAGCAGGATGAGCCTCTCAGTGAGCTGGATCCCATTCAGGGACATCACACCCATGTAGAGGAAGATGCCAAACAGCACCGCTAGGGGGATCTGACGCAGAGCCTCCCCAATCACAATGGACAGACCTGAGAGGGAGAGCCATGACCAGATCAGAAGTGCCAGCACTAACTATAGTAGAAGGAATCACAGAAGGACTCAGACAGTCGTACCCACTAAAACAGCCACCAGGAAGCCCGTCACCCTCTGCTCCTTCACTTCCTGGATGCGGGGCTTGTCTCCAGGAGCAACAGCTTTGCTCATGACAGTGAGGGCGTTGGTGTGGGTGACAGAGCGAACTGTGGTGGCCGATAGCCAAGGCAAACCAAACAGAGCTGAGATTCCACCCACCACCACAATGATCAGGAGGTCCAGGTGAAATCCAGTTCCCTTCACCAGCATCCTCTCCTTCTTGCTCACAATCAGCCTGACAAGGGGGCCAAGGAAGATTATTTATACATTTATACCGTCCTGTAACACCTGAAGTTATTGGTTATTTTCCTGTTATTGGTTATTTTAAGTATGGTTGCTCTAAAAAAGACAACATCAACAGAACCAGTACAAAGAAGAAGAAAGTGTTGTACGCTGTGATCTGGGATTCCATGAAGATGAGGATGAAGACCAGGATTGCCGGAAGAATGCTGGCGCCCATCATCCAAACAGGAAACTGGCCATCTGACCCAAGTGGAGAAATCAGCCAGTCACGCTTCTCGGGACTGGACACGGAGAACCCACTGGGCACGTTCAGCTTCTATCAGCCGGTACAAAGAGGTTCATTCAAACATCTGATCCATCACAGTGATTTATAACCACAGGGATCTCTTTATGCATATTAAAATGTGCTCTGGGCTGACCTGGGTATAGGTGTCCTCCACGCTGTAGTCCACCAGCACCATAATGAGGATAGCAATGGGGACCCCGAAGTCTCCAATGATCCTGCGGAGCTGATGCCAGAAAGGTCAGACTTAAGAGAGATACAAATAAATGATATTTTTTTCAGAGGCGATTTAAATTCACCATCTATATTCACGCCAAACGCGATGAAAATATGTTGGCAATAATTTGTATTTGCACATACCTGTATCTTTATTTGTACCTGTACCTGTGCACAGGAACAAATGTCTACAATAACCTAAGGCCGACCTGTGCTTGTTCTTGTATCTGCACTTCTATATGTGTCCACAATATATTTGTGCCTTTGTTGTACCTTAATGCATCTGTGTCAGTATATACTATACCTGTGCCTGTATCAGTATGTACCTGGTCAGGTGTGTACCTGTATCTGTATTCATATTGGTGCTTGTGAACCAGAACACATGCATGTACATGTATCTGTATGTACCTTTACTGTATATATGGAACTTCTCTGTAAAGCTGCACATACCTGTATGTATTAGTACATGTACAGTATGTACTTGTGCCTGTATATACCTGTTTCTGAACCAGTGCGTATCTGACATGTTTGTGTCTGTATGTGCCTGTACTTGAATGTTCTGACCCTTCCTGGGAAGAAGGAGCTGTTCTTGAACTTGCGCAGGTAGAAAGCGATGAAATACGTTCCGGCCATGAGCACTAATGACAGCAGGGCTGTGTTGGGCTCTCCAACAACCTTTCCAGAATTCTCGGTGGTTGTTGTGTAGTTGCACAGAGATGGAAATACTGTATTGTTTCCATGGTAACTGTTTTGGAGAGGATGCTCCTGAAAGATCTAGAACACACACACACACACAAAAACAATTCAGGGTGGCTCTGCATTAGTCAGTGGGTAGCACAAAGCCCTGCATCATTGCTGTCTGCTCCACAACATTTACAACACTCACCTACCAAACTGACCAGAAGAACTGTGTGGTCAGTTGGCTTTTTAAGCACAATGGAAACACAGGAAGAACGTACATCCTAAGACTTCAGCATGACAACATAAAGTGAAACTTCTTAAAATGATCTCGTGCCAGCTTTGTTATGAATAAACCTGCAGATGATTAAAAACTGATAAATCCAAGAAGTAGTTCTGCTCTTGGTTTCAGACCTCACCTTGACCAGTTTGGCAAATGTCTCATAGATGAAAATCAGTGAGATTAGGAAGGAGAAGATCTCCTGAGTGAAACGGGAGACGAAGCGAACCAGGATGCTTCCCTCAAAGGCCACAGTGAGGAGAACAATGAGCACCAGCCAGAAACCAATCCACACCCGTCCTGTCAGATACTCGATCCCATTGTCTTTACAAAACTACACAGAAACAGACCAGGTCAAGGTCAGAGGGCAATCGGACCCTTGGATGGATCACTGATTGGCTTGTTAGCTAACTTCTGTTTTATAAATGTTTAGAGTTTATCTTCCACCATATTCTTAGTTGGATTTAGGCAGAAAAAACTGTGAAGTTCTACATCTTAATTCAGATGTATACACAGACATCGTCTGCATAACACTTCAGAGGCTTGTTTTGATTTTTTTAACACTTGTTTTGATTTGGTGCTGTACAAATAAAATAACAGAACTGAATTGAACTGAACTGAACAAAGAAGGCCAAAGAGGACCGCAAAATATAGCTGAAAGCTTCAGAAATACAGGTAAGTGGACTTTGTGTTGACTTTTTTCCATGAAACTAATTCAAATGATGATATTTATCATCACAGTTATAGACACAGAGATCAATAAATATACTCAGAAGAGAAAATATAGTCGGTGTGTTATGTTGGATAAATGAAGGTAACTGAGATGCGTTTCAAACATGATGCAGGTTGACACCGATGTGTCAGATGAGCTCACAGTGTAGAAGGCCTCTTCAAACACCAGCAACGGTCCGGAGAAGCCAATCACCAGCAGAGGCTGAGCACCGAGCACGCTGAACACTATCCCCTGCATCGCTGTGGCCACTATCAGCTCCGACACACCAATCAGACCCTCCGTTTTCTCACCTGTCAGAGAACAGAGAATATACATCCTCTAGAGAAGATCTTTGAAACTACATTTTATCTAATTATTTGAAAACCCTCTTAAATCATCCAGAAGGCCTTTGCTTCAGTCAGCTTGCAGCAACTTGAAACTCTTCAACCAAACCTCGTCAGGTTATTCAGTCTCTGTCGATGTGTTTCTGAGGTCTACACTTACCCAGCAATCCACCAAAGGTGATGGCAGGTGACAAAGCAGCAAAGTAGATGAAGATGATGGCGGCCATGCACTGAGGGTTCAGAGCATCTCGGATGTCGCTGAGGTACTGAGGGTAGCGTCGAATCACGTCTGTGATCAGTCCTCCGAACAGACGACCTGAACGCCTCAGGGGCTCCTCGCTGGGTTTGGAAGGAACCAGGGAATCTAGAAAACAAGAACTGCATTCAGCACCATAAGGATGGTACATGCTGTCACTCCAAACATTACAAAAGAAGCATTTACCCTTATGATGGGGACGTGCTAAATTACCTCACAAAGATGGTTACTTCAAACTGAGCTCATGCCAATAACATACTGACTTAAAGCCCTGAGTGGTATGAACTGAAGTGTTCTGCACATTCACTGAAAAGGCTTAAACTTGAAACTAGAATCAGAAAACAACTTCACCAGTCAGCATGTCTGTAAAAGAAGTCAGCACCACAGACAGGCTCCGAAACCACAGTTGAGATACTGCAGCGATGTTGTGATTAAATCAGGACAGCTCATTCAGCGATGCATTTTAACCTCTCAGATGTGAGTCAGGTTGGGACAACAATGGCCAAACTCAGAACTGGTGCCCTCAGCATGATGAGGACCAGGAGA